CCGGTATAGTTCTGTGCCTTTAAGTTAACCCCTTCAGACTCGTTCAGCCTGCACAGCACATCAAGCTTCCAAGTGCACAGCTATGTCAGTTTTTATCTCCCCAGCCACAGGTTGTATTCCTTCTCTCCTCCAACATTCAGCTTCTCCGTCCCGGAACCCCTCCTCTCCGTTCACTCCTCATCAGTCCCTGAGCCACTCGTTCCTCTGCCCCACAGACCGTCAGCTTCTCTGTCCCGGCACCCCTCCTCTCCGTTCACTCCTCATCAGTCCCTGAGCCACTCGTTCCTCTGCCCCACAGACCGTCAGCTTCTCTGTCCCGGCACCCCTCCTCTCCGTTCACTCCTCATCAGTCCCTGAGCCACTCGTTCCTCTGCCCCACAGACCGTCAGCTTCTCTGTCCCGGCACCCCTCCTCTCCGTTCACTCCTCATCAGTCCCTGAGCCACTCGTTCCTCTGCCCCACCGACCGTCAGCTTCTCTGTCCCGGCACCCCTCCTCTCCGTTCACTCCTCATCAGTCCCTGAGCCACTCGTTCCTCTGCCCCACCGACCGTCAGCTTCTCTGTCCCCACACCCCTCCTCTCCGTTCACTCTTCATCAGTCCCTGAGCCACTCGTTCCTCTGCCCCACCGACCGTCAGCTTCTCTGTCCCCACACCCCTCCTCTCCGTTCACTCCTCATCAGTCCCTGAGCCACTCGTTCCTCTGCCCCACCGACCATCAGCTTCTCTGTCCCGGCACCCCTCCTCTCCGTTCATACTTTATCCCGGCAATCCTACATGGACAAAGATTTTGGAGTCGGCCGTGTTGCGGGGAGGAAAGGGTTGTGACATGTGTGTCCATATTTTATATGTGACTCTCCTGCAGAGGTGGGACATCATGTCAGATCTGAAGATTTCTGCCCACACACGCTAACATGAAGGCGGCAGGACGACCTTGCTCCTCCAGCGCTGCGCAGAGACTCACTTTCCCCTTCCAGTGGCTGCGGCACATTAGCTGACATGCAGGAGGTGATCATTCCCATGTCTCTGACCAGTGACATGTGTTCTGCTGACATTCAGTGCTGGCCCAGCTGCTTCACTGACTTTCCTGTTAAACTGTTTTATAACCGATAAGAGTGGAATAAGCAGAGTTTGGGGAAACACACACACACTGCAATTTATTTTACTTCCTTTTATTGTCGGATCTTTTCACCTTTTATGTAACACTCGGCATTATAGAGGAAGTAAAGTCCCGCAACAGGAAATGCAGCATTACATAATACACGGCAATGCATGTTATGTGTATTGGCACAATGCGGTACATTTCATTCCACATGCACAGGGGAGTCCCCATAGTGAGGCAGCATCTCATTGGGGGGGTGACAGCAGAGGAAAAAAACAGCACCTCCCTCCCCTCCCCCCCCCCCCCCCGGCTGATAGCTCTGCTACTTGCTGCCATCACCTGCCTGGATGACAGCTCTGCCCTCTTCTCATAGTCACCTCAGCTGGTGAATGAGGTAGGGACAGCCTTGTGCATGCATTCATATTTTATACTTGGGGAGTGACCTATGTTTAACAGATGTCCATTACCAGCTCCTGTGACTCCTGCCACCTCTACTGGCCTACAGCCATCACCATCTCCTGCCACCTCTATTGGCCTGACACCATTCCCATCTTCTGCCACTTCACCTGTCACAAACTGTTGTTACAGCCCGAGACAGGGAAGGGAGGGGGCACATGCTGCTGCTGTTATCATTTGTGGTAAACAATGACACTCTGTGACAGGAAGGGAGGGGGTCCTAGACGCTGCTGGTATGCTCTGTGGTACAAGAGCAGAAAGGAGGGGGTAGAATGGACTATCTATGGCACTCCGGAAATATTGGTCACAGAGAGCCATGAAGATACATACCGGGTTACGTGTCCTCATGGGGGCTGGGAACACACTGAGGGTGCAGCCGGAAGTCATCTCAGTAGGCCTGAAGATGTAAGCCCATAACTGTACTGAGGTCGCGGCTGGATAAAGTCCCTCACTGCTGATCCCACATAAGTAATCACACCCATAGACCGGAGACATCTACTGATGTACAACAGGCAAAAAAAACATAGCGCAAGCTTCGGCGCCATGTATCGGGGCATTAGTACAAGTACTTGTCAAAATGTTCTGTATCGGTCCCGATCCGATGCCAGTACCGGTATCGGGACATCCCTAATAGAAGCACTTAGTGATGTCATCTCATCATTAGTAACGCAGATCAGAAGTATTTTTCTTTATCACATGAATAGGACCATAGAGGAAATGTAACCATTGTTCTGCCCCATAAGGATCATTGAGGTGCCGGGACTGAAGGGGAGAATGGGGATTGTAGTCCGTCCGATCTCCTGCATGCTTGCTCCTGGTAAATGACACACTCAGTAATGAAATGTAGTTGAGGATGAAGATGACATCCCCGGAGCCTGCAGCCTTATAAGTAAATCAGTAATGTTATTTATTCACCGCTTCCTCCTATTGGCTGAGTATACCACCAATCAGATTCTCTGCCCTGTGATGTCACCAGTCTCTGGGCAGATCTCTCACATCTGATTGCCCCCGGATATCTTTATACAGGAACCTCTCCCTACACATAACCCGGCATGGAGGGGCTCAGTGAAGGTGGTGGTGAAGGTGTGGAGGAGTCGGATCGGGTCACACAGATCATAAAAGGAGATCCGCCCGGCCTCATAATCCAGATCTATCCTGACTCTGTTACTGGAGAGTTTTTCGGGTAATGGGATCTCATTATTATCATGTAACACTGAACACTTTTTAAAACGCTTCCTCTCCAAACTCCAGGACTTCTTATTATCTCCAATCTCTGACTGATCTCCTCTCCTCTTTATACTGGGGTAACACATCCCGACTATCCAAGATGTTGACCTCCCGACATCCACTTCCCAGTAATGTCGCCCTGAGGAGAAACTCTGACTGCTCAACACCTGAGGACACTGAAATCTCTCTGGAGTTTCTGGACGATTCAGATATGATGAATAGGATGCAGTTTTCCTGTCATCTGATATACGTAGATTATTACTGGCTGTGCTCACATCCAATAATATGTCTGTAACCCCCGACACCCCCGATGTTTCCTGTACAGCCCCAATATTTGATCCTTCAGCCTGGAGGTGTGACTGTTGTACAGTAGGGGATGGTTGAGGACGTGGCCTGGATAGTTCAGCCTCTATGTGACCTTTGTCCTTTGTACTAGAATGTGGATAGACATGTGTGCCTGGACCTTCCTGTACATTTACCCCAGACATGATATGAGAGAAACCTGTGTGTAATGTGTGTGAGATCCCAGCCACATCCAGATCCCCTCCATCATGGAGGAGTCTATCATGTCTCTCTCTGTGCGCATCATCTCCATCCTCAGTATCACACAAGTCACCTGTGTCTGATTCCTGTAAGACAGTCAGTGGATCCGTCATGTTACACAGCTCCTCAATGTGACGCATCTTCCTGGACAGCTCGTCCTTCTTTATTTCCAGCTCCAGGATCATACTCTGGACTCTTTTCTCCGTCTCCTCTTTCTTTGTCATCAGTTTCTGCAGAACATTTCTCAGTTTCTTCTTCTTCTTCTCAGAGGCCTCATCCAGAGTCTCCACCTGATGTCCCCGATGTTCTCCATCCAGCCTGCAGGACACACAGATGCAGGCAGAGTCCTCAGTGCAGTAATACTTCAGTAGTTCCCTATGGACGGAGCATTTCCTGTTCTCCAGGGAAGTGGTGGGGTCACATAAGGTGTGTTCTGGTGACTTGCTGTGGATTCTCAGGTGGTTTTCACACAGAGAAGCTTCACACATCAGACAGGATTTCACAGCAGGTACAGGAGCGTGATAACACTGAGTACAGAGGACCTCGGACTCCTTCTGATCTGGCTGAGCAGACAGGAAATTCTCCACTGTGTTATGCCGTGCAGGCCGCTTCTGGAACTCATCTTTGCATATAGGACAAAAATACTCTCCAGACCCCTCCTGTGTATCCAGCACATGACCAATACAATCCTGGCAGACGTTGTGTCCACATCTCAGGGTTATAGGATCTGTAAAAATCTTCAGACAGACGGAACATTCTAGCTTCTTCTTCAGATTAGCAGACGCCATCACTGACAGCATAAGAGAAATGAAAGTGAAAATTTCTGACACTCCTTAACCAGTGTGACGGGTTCTGTACACTCCTACACAGGGCGAGGCTGAGACTCGTATTCATAGGAATCCTTATACAGAGAACACAGATAATGCATGGGAGGATTCTTGACAATAATCTCCATATCTAAGTGTGGAGAAGGAGGCTCCTGGGAGCCCTAAGCCCCTCTCTCTGCTCCCCAATCCTCCTCAGCTCCTTGTGGGTTCCCTTTCCTGGCTCACAGCCTCCCCCAGCTACAGCAGCCTGGGCTTTGATCTCTAACACAGAGCCAGCAGATGAAAGGTGCCTTCTTCAGATCTTCTGGGATGCATACCATGCAGACCCGCTGTGCTCCCCCCACCCCCCCTAGGGTTGCCACCCGTACGGGGTTCACCCGTACAGTACGGGTTTGGCATCTCGTGTCCGGTTTTCTGGCCACCTCAGCCCCGGGCACATGATTGTCACAGTTTCAGGCAGACAGGGGCAGCCTCGGGGTCCTGGAGAGGAATACGTGAAGGAGGACCTTCGGCTGTGTGAGCACAATCCCGGCAGAGTGTGCGGCTGTCTGTGCGGCTACAGGTACTTGTCTTGAGGGGTTAATCAGGGCCGGTACTAGTGTATGATTGTTGAACAGACAGTGCCCGATAGTTTCTGAACTGTCACAGCACTGCCTCCTGTCCCGGTGCAGCTGCGTGGGGGGGGGGGGAGATAGTGAGTGTGTGTAATTCTTATGCTGATTTTAGCTATTGCTGTGAGAACCTGTAAAGAATAAGGTGACCAGATTCCTTTGTGTCCATGATTTATGCAGAAACTTCTTTCAAGGGAATCTGGTCACTTTATTATTTACAGGTTCTCACAGCTCACAAGGGCGCAATACTCCATACACCAGCATCAGGGAGCAATACATACTGGTCAACCCGATCCACCATTAAGGCCGCCCTTCGTCCAGTTCCGGGATTTATATGTAAGTGCAGCCAGCACCTTTTTTCCCCTTTTTTGACATAGAGACAGGTAGTCTTTAGAATATACACCATCAAGGTTATTGCGCCCTTGTGTGTTCTTATTATAAGAATTACACACACACACTATCTTTCTTCCGCCTGTTGGGGGCCCAGAGAGGAAGAAGAGGGCCCCTCCGAGATAGTGCCACTCCTTTCTCGCCGATCTGCCACCCGCAGCATGTATTGGCAGCTGTGAGAGGCTGTCACTTGTCCAGCAGAATGTGCTACAGGCACCGCCGGGCAGCACATTCTGCGGTGGGAGAAGACCCTTTCCACCTCGTCCCACCCCCTGGCCGCTGAGACAAGGAAGAAGGTGCTGGTAAGGTGCTGGAAGTCAGGTAAGTCTGGACCGGGAAGGGGGGCGCAGAGAAAGGGGGGGGCTGAGAAGCTGGTGGTATGCTGTATTGCTGATTTTCATTATAATGTATTGCTAGGACTTGTAGTCCCGCATAGCTGGTGGTATTCTGCATTGTTGTATGATGATTATACAGCAATGCAGAATAGCTCCATCTATGCAGGACTACAAGTCCCAGCAATGCATTATGCTATTGAGTAGGGATAAAAAAGTGCCAATACTGCGCTTTTTAACGAGTAGTCACACCAATGCCCCGATACTAAGCGCAGATACCGGTGTTCTGTCGAGAACGCTGCCATTGTCAAATTTGCCGACCTCAGCATCTGCGCTTGCGCACAGACCAATTGTATCAAGCAAACCGGGATTTATTCACAAAGTATTTCGTTTAAATCGTTAATTGTGACCGGTAATAATATCCCATCCATCATTTACTGCCCTCCATCATTTCCTGCCATCCATCATTTCCTGCCATCCTTCATTTCCTGCCATCCATCATTTCCTGCCATCCATCATTTCCTGCCATCCATCATTTCCTGCCATCCTTCATTTACTGCCCTCCATCATTTCCTGCCCTCCATCATTTCCTGCCCTCCATCATTTCCTGCCCTCCATCATTTCCTGCCGTGGACGGCATATTATTACCGGTCACAATTAACCATTACAAACGAATACTTTGTAAATAAATGGCGGTTTCCTCGTTAATCCCGTCTGTGTGTAAGCGCAGATACTGGGTCGGCGTTCTCGACAGAACATTGGCACTAAATTTTTAAACTGAAGCGGCTGTCTGAGGTCCCGCGCTTGCTGGGAACCGTGGCAGCCTTCCTGTTAACCACACGGTGCCATGGCGGTGGTGGATTGGGGGGCCCTTCATGGTTTCTTGCATCGGGGCCCTGAAGGTTCTAGTTATGCTTCTGGCCTTGAGCAAAGAGTGTTGGAACTTGTCTGGCAGCTCTCTGGTTATGGTCCTTGGTATTGCCCCACTAATGACAGCCGAGAAGCAGGAAACAGGTACACATGCATTGAAAGTTGTAGGTGTAGCTAAAACCTGGCCAAAAGTAGGGATAGATTTCTGCCAGCCAACGGTGCTAGGTGTGTGTGCATAGGCACAGCATATAAACGACTCCAGGAAGACACCAGTAAGGTAACTTGTGAGAAACCCCACATATCAGTGGCCTCTAATGGGAGGTAAGTAAGCGAGTGCCCTCAGTTTGTTGCAGATTTAGTGGATAAACAATGACAGGTAACCCTATTTTTGTCCTAAAACCTGACTGGCTTAAAGGAGATGAATCACCAAGGGTAGCAAATCATGATACATCTTCCCATTTCATCCTATATTTTCCATCTTCTCTCTGCCAATATATAAATGTGTATGAGCCCCATTTTTTTCGTCCCCCGAAAAAAAAAATCTATTTTGGCAAGTTTGACATTTAGCTATTCCCTACCCTATCCAAAATCCAGATTTTGAATTCACGCATACTACCTCCAGACAGTCCGGTCTTTGAGTCTTATGTCCGGGTGTCAGGCCAGCTGACACCCGGACACAAGACACTAAGTGCCGATACTGGCACTTTAAATTTCTTGACAGAAGCGGCTTCCTGAGGTTCCCAGCAAGCGTGGGACCTCAGGCAGCTGCATCTGCCTAGAAAAAGAGGGGGATGTTTCGCTTCTGGAGATTCAGTAGCTCCAATCTTTTACCCTTAAATTTCGGTCCGTCTTACCAGATCCATAACCAGAAAGTACATCAAACAAAAGAAGGGTTCCGGCCGCCTACTGAGTATAGACAGTCCAAGGGTTAATTTTACAGATCGGGACAGACCATAAGTGTTATTTTTGTATGAAAAAGCATTTATTCAAATATCAAAAAGGTAACAAACATGGCCAAACTTTCTTTATCGACCGATTAAAAACAAAAGTAGAAAAAAATCATCAGAACTGACTATTTCTTTCGTAGCCTTTGTCGGGATTATCTGTACCCTTATATACTGTGTCACCTCCGTCAAGGTTTATGGCAGTTTTCCAATTCAGTTTCAGAGTGTATTTTGTTCCTTGGATATCCTTTCCGTATATAGTTTGTTCAGCTCGTCAATTGTAGATGGAATCTTTCTAATTTTTGGTACTTTGTTGTTCTTGTATTGTATCAATATTTTACAAGATGTTTGACCATTTCCTTTCCTTTATTTTTGGTTGTACTACTCCCCTGTGGTTAGATTTTATTTCTAATTGATCCGCTGGGGATATTGGAGGTAAGCTATTTCCTTGCAGGATAACGGCGGTTCAATTACACTCGTTAGTGATTTTGAACTGTGATAGTTAGTTGTAACGTAATTTATAATATGATTCTTCCCTTCCCTTTCTACAAGGGGTATCTTACTTCAATTCAGGTTATCCACAGTCAGTTTGTCCACAGTTAGGGTAATTCTCAATTGGAAAAAAATCAAAAATAGTAATCTTACTCACATGTTCAGGCCGTCGTTATTTCTGTGTATAGCTTACCTATCCGTTTGAAGGAAATGGTTTTATTTGTTTAACGAAAGAGACAGTCCAGCAATTTTGTCCTTGGTACGGGCATTTAAAATCTTGGGAGTTCACGGATATCCGTGTGGTATCAGTCTAGTGAATGGAAAGTATCATAAGCCATGGATCAAGATCTTTGACGCTATATATTTTTTCGTTAGGGGTTTAGTCCAGGCATTACATGAGCTGCATCTGCCTGACTCGTCATCTTGTGAGCCGGGCGCCTGTAAAAAGGGACAGGCCGGCCCGCACATCTTCTCATCCTTCTCCGGCTTCTTCCTGATAGCATGCTGCCTGCCTCCAGACCCCTGGTGAGACCCCCTCAGTTCCCACACAGCCACCTGAGAGCCAGCATAGCCTACCCGACAGCCCGCATAGCCACCTGAGAGCCCATGGAATCTACCTGAGAGCCCTCAAAGGCCACCTGAAACCCTGGAGACATCAGGACATAACCCCAGAACACATAGTACGTAGCGTCATATTATTTTGTATTGCTGTAACATGTATTGCTGGGATTTGTAGTCCTCTATAAATTGTCTCCTTACTCCCTCCCCTGGCTGGCTTCTCTTGCTCTTTCTCCTGGTTTCCTCTCCTCTATATCCCCCCCCCCCAAAAAAAATTGCCGCACACAGCGCTTGAGTGTTTGGGTTTCACTTGAAGAAAAGGTGGCAACCCTAGTGACAGGCGAGATGTTTTTTATATCCTATACATTACTTTTTACTAGGGCTAGGGCTGTTACTGATTAAAATATTTGTGTTCGATTAATCAAAATTTTTTTAAATCGATTAACCGATTAATTTCGATTAATTATAATGCACATACAGATCCAACTATATTGGCCTATACACATACAGCCCTGCAATGAAGTAATAAAATGAACTAGGATCACACTAATCCAGCACGTTATTAATCTCACGTGCCCCACTCATGCGATCAAAAAAATTTTAATCGATCAAAAAGATTAACGATTAATTGAGAAATTAATCGTTAATTTGCACAGCCCTACGTTTTACCTTTATTAAGCAGTTACTTTTATACTGCACTCAGATCTGTGCGCCGGGTTTTATGTTTTCTTTACCGTGCTGTTACATGGATGTCTCCCTATACCACAGACCGGGCTGCAGGATCAGTGCATACGTCTTCTCTGGATTAACTATCAGAAGAACCGGAACTCTTTTAACACTAATAATATACAGTCCACAGCCAACTGGTCTAGTTGTGCAAGTTGGTGACTTCTGTTTTATATAAATAATCATAATGTTTGCCTCAGAGTGAATCATTCTCTATACAGTATAAAACGGCCTCACCACTTCCTATGAGAATGCGGCCTAATAAATCTGCTTCCATACTCTGCAGGGAAGGTGCAATATTTCTGGCTTTAGTCTCTGAAATAATAGTCTCTCATTTTTATTTCATGATAATACCGGTCTGGTCTCTCCCTCTGAAATTGCAGCCTAGTAAAAGTGCATACATAGGGGCTGATTTATAAATGTTCTGCCCCCCATGGTGCTGAGGAACATAGGATTTCCTGTGCTCCTCAGCACCATCTTGTGGCGCTTGTATCATACAAACAGCATCTGTCCAGTTATACAATGGGTGGAACATTTATAAATCAGCCCCATAGTGGGTGGAGTCAGTGCAACATTTCTGTCTTTCTCTGTACAGTATATCCATACAGATTATGGTGAGATGGGACTAAAGCAGTAAATAAAACACCTCACTCTAATCACTGCACAGTAAAGTCTTCTTAGAACAGAAGGTGATCACATGTCTCATTCCCCAAAAAAGGGGGAAGTATTTCTTATTCCAGAACAATGGGCGGAGCCATGCAAATCATTGCTTCACACCCCAACGGGACAGATGCACACCCATAGCCTAATATTATAGAACTATGTATTACAGTCTGCCTACAGCTGTTACAGGCTATTTGGCCTTCATCAGTGCAGTGTATGGAAACCATGGCTTCTATGGAGTAGGGATTAGGACCCAATGGGGCAGTGTAACCGTACAGGTGATGGTGAGAAGAGACTAAAGGAATCAAAAAGACCCCAACCCACCCGTAGTGCGGTGCAGGCAAAAAAACATGCTTGTATGAGATAGATAGTCTCTAATGTAAATGTGATAGATAAAGCGGTCCGATCTCACACATATAGACACAACATCCGAGATAAATGATTATGATTAAAATATAATTTATTTCTAAAATAGGCCAAAAATGCCAATAAACACCCAAAACACGTCCCATGGTGAATCTAACAACCATTGTATTTAGAAGAGAAGAGTTACAAAGTAAAAGTAAAGATGAGAAAGTAGAGAGATGAAGACACGGAGATCCTTAGACATGGCGGGTGGACCAAGGATCTGACCTCTTCATCTGACCTCCAATCCTGGACAGTTGTCATGGAGGACCGCCCCCAAACATAAACATGTGACCTATGACATCATTGAGTGAAGAATTTGTACAAGCAGCACATCATTCATTACAAGAGACATTCATTTCTGTCATCTCAGAACACCTCATCAGCTTGTCCCACCTCCAGACCCCCAAATACATCATTGTAGAACAAGGAGACCAACTGTCACTGTGTTCTATAACAAGACATTCCAAGGATCCGGAGAACAACCATATGTTCTAATCACATCTTTCTGTAAAGTCATTCCAGCAAGTCAGCCTGTTATTCTAGAAAGAACCCAACATGAGCATAGAAGCACTTAGTGATGTCATCTCATCATTAGTAACGCAGATCAGAAGGATTTTTCTTTATCACATGAATAGGACCATAGAGGAGATGTAACCATTGTTCTGCCCCATAAGGATCATAGAGGTGCCGGGACTGAAGGGGAGAATGGGGATTGTAGTCCGTCCCATCATTATATCTATATCCAGTCATTCATCAATATCCTCATATACAGAAGGGGAGGGGTGACGGGGCCGTGCGTCTTCCACAAATATATTCTACTAACACCTCGGATTTACTACATATAGAGGGGAATTCACTAAGACCGGAGCAGACACAATCTGGACCAATCAGCTTCCAGCTTTCATTTTCAAAGCTTCACTGAAGAAGCTGAAGGTGGAATGTGATTGGTTCCTGTGCTCAGCTGATCCAGATTCTGTCTGCTCCGGTCTTAGTAAATTCCCCCCATAGTGTGTAACGAGTGCCGGATATTTCTTTATAAAAGCCTGACAGAGGTTCCTCCCCCACCACAGAAAATACTTTTTATTTCTGTCTGTGTCCCAGGTATAGATTTTTCTTAATTTCCTGTCTGGTAAAATGTTGTCACCAGGACAGGAAGTGAGGGGAAATCTCTCTATTGGAGTCCTAGATAGCAATAAAAACCTGACAGGGGTTCTAGTCCTCTCCCACTCCATCTAGAACTGAGAATTATAGATACACCTTAAAGGTGCAGGCTCCAGGACTGTCATCCCGATCCTCACTACACTACCTAGCGTGTCACTGATCCGGAACAAGCATGCAGCCAGTTAAGTCTGAATAATCTGAACTCCTTCATGCTTGTTCCTGGTCAGTGACACACGCGGTAGTGAAGTGAAGATGAGGATTAAGATGACATCCCCGGAGCTTGCAGAGCCTTATATCAGTAATGTAATTTCATGTCTACTGCTTCCTCCTATTGGCTGAGTATTCCACCAATTGATTCTCCCCGCCCTGTGATGTCACCAGTCTCCGGGCAGATTTCTCACCTCTGATTCCCCCCAGATATCTTTATACCACCTCCCCATACATATAACCCGGCATGGAGGGGCTCAGTGAAGGTGGTGGTGAAGGTGTGGAGGTGTCGGATCGGGTCACACAGATCATAAAAGGAGATCCGCCCGGCCTCATAATCCAGATCTATCCTGACTCTGTTACTGGGGACATCGCCGGGCAATACCATCTCATTATTGTCATGTCTTACTGAATACTGATTACCCCCCCACCTCACCATACCCCAGGACTTCTTATTATCTCCAATCCCTGACTGATCTCCTCTCCTCTCTATACTGGGGTAACACATCCCTACTCTCCATAGCACTGACCCCCCGACATCCACTTCCCAGTAATGTCGCCCTGAGGAGAAACTCCGACTGCTCAACGCCTGAGAACCCTGAAAGCTCTCTGGAGTTTCTGGACGATTCTGGCTAAACACTGACCAGGATGCAGCTTTCCTATCATCTGATATAAGAAGATTATTACCAGCTGTGCTCTCATCCAGTAATATGTCTGTAATCCCCGACACCCCCGATGTTTGCCGTACAGCCTCAATATTATGTCCTCCAGTCTTGAGGTGTGAGTGTTGTATGGTGGGGGAGGGTCGGAGGCGTGTCCTGGATGGTTTAGCAGTGATGGGACGTTTGTCCTTTCTACTAGAATGTGGATAGACATGTGTGCCTGGACCTTCCTGTACATTTAAGCCGGACATTATATCAGATATACCTGTGTGTAATGTATGTGACATCCCAGCCACATCCAGATCCCCTCCATCATGGAGGAGTCTATCATGTCTCTCTCTGTCCCCATCATCTCCATCCTCAGTATCACACAAGTCACCTGTGTCTGATTCCTGTAAGACAGTCAGTGGATCCATCATGTTACACAGCTCCTCAATGTGACACATCTTCCTGGACAGCTCATCCTTCTTTATTTCCAGCTCCCGGATCATATCCGTCACGTAGAGGGAGGTCCGCTCAGCCTTCCCGGAGATCTCACTCAGGACTCTCTTCTCCAGGTCCTCCAGACGTCTCCTGAGGTCTCTGAGCAGGGCAGTGACTCTCTCTGTTTCACCGGCTGCTTCTCCTTGTACTTTCCTCCTGTGTTCCTCCAGACTCTGGACCCTTTTCTCCGTCTCCTCTCTCTCTGTCATCAGTTTCTGCAGAACATTCCTCAGTTTCTTCTTCTTCTTCTCAGAGGCCTCATCCAGAGTCTCCACCTGATGTCCTCGATGTTCTCCAGCCAAGCTGCAGGACACACAGATACAGGCAGAGTCCTCAGTGCAGTAATACTTCAGTAGTTCCCTATGGATGGAGCATTTCCTGTTCTCCAGGGAAGTGGTGAGGTCACATAAGACGTGTTCTGGGGACTTGCTGTGGACTCTCAGGTGGTTGTCACACAGAGAAGCTTCACACAGCAGACAGGATTTCACAGCAGGTACAGGAGCGTGATAACACTGAGTACAGAGGACCCCGGACTCCTCCGGATCCGGCTGAGCAGACAGGAATTTCTCCACAATGTTACGCAATGTTATGTTCCTCTGCAGTGCAGGCCGCTCCTGGAACTTCTCTCTGCATTCAGGACAGGAATATCCTCCAGACCCCTCCTGTGTATCCAGCACATGACCAATACAGTCCCGGCAGAAGTTATGTCCACATTTCAGGGTTACAGGATCTGTATAAGTGTTCAGACAGACGGAACATTCCAGCTCAGCTCTCAGATTACCAGACGCCATCGCTGACAGCAGAAGAGGGAAGTGAAAGTCTCTGACATTCCTTAACCAGTGTGACGGGTTCTGTACACTCCTACACAGGGCGAGGCTGAGACTCGTATTCATAGGAATCCTTATACAGAGGACACAGATAATACATGGGAGGACTCCTAACAATAGTCTCCATATCTGAGGAAGAATAAAGGTCATTTAATAATCTGTGGAAATGTTGTGTCAGGAATTTCCTTCATATCATTAGCACATTTCACAGACAAAGGAACACAAAGGTGATGTATTTGGCTGTAATAAGACAAGTCATAACTAAGGAGATAATAAAGATTTGCCTCTCTCCGTATTGTGAATGGAGAGGAATTGATGTGTAGTGAGCATGTCAATGTTTATTCCTGACTGAGGAGATCATAAACATTAACCATCTCCTCATATGTGAATGACCTGGAAGTGATCTGTACTGGGAACTCCAATGTTCATTCATAACTTAACAGATAATTAACATTTTCCACTTCTTCATTATTTGACCCTCCGCTGGAGACATCAGGCCGGCACCCCGAAGGCTAGCAGCAGCACAGAGTATGTAGCAAATTCATATACTATTCTGCATTGCTGTATAATGTATTGCAGGTATTTGTAGTCCTCTATAGCTGATGGTATTATTCTGCATTGCTGTATAATGTTTTGCTGGGATTTGTAGTCCTCTGTAGCTGATGGTATTATTTTGCATTGCTGTAAGTGACAGAGGATGTGGGAGACACAGAACACACACAGAGAGCAAGAGTAGTTTTATGCACCCTTTGGCAAAGAGTTTTGTTTTTTTAAGAGATCAACATACAGAGTGTAGTCCGGCACAGCGAGATTAGGAGGACAGGGTCACAGGGCAGCATAGGTCCATAGGGTGTAAGGGCAGCAATCCCAGCACAGAAAGGTTAAGTTCACAGAGTCTCAGGGCAGCAATCCTGGCACAGAAGGGGTTAAGTACACAGGGTCTCAGGTCAGCAGTTCTAGCACAGAAAGGGTTAAGTCCATAGGGTCTAAGGGCAGCAATCCTGGCACAGAAGGGGTTAAGTACACAGGTTCTCAGGGCAGCAATCCCAGCACAGAAAGGGTTATGTCCACAGGGTCTCAGGTCAGATATCGGGCTCAGAAAGGGTTACGTCCACAGGGTCTAAGGGCAGCAATCCGGCACAGAAAGGGTTAAGTCCATAGGGTCTCAGGGCAGCAATCCTGGCACAGAAGGGGTTAACTACACAGGGTCTCAGGGCAGCAATCCGGCACAGAAATGGTTAAGTCCACAGGGTCTAAGGGCAGAAGTTTTGGGCACCGAAAGGGTTAAGTACACAGGGTGTCAGGGCAGCAATCCCAGCACAGAAAGGGTTAAATTCACAGTGCAGCAGTTCCATCACAAAAAGGGTTAAATCCATAGGATCTAAGCGCAGCAAGCCAGCACAGAAAGGTTAAGTCCACAGGGTCTCAGGGCAGCAATCCGGCACAGAAAGGGTTAAGTCCACAGGGTCTCAGGTCATAAATCCCGGCATAGAAAGGGTTACGTCCATAGGTTCTCGGGGGCGGGAATCCCAGCACAGAAAGGGTTAAGTCTGCAGGGTCTAAGGGCAGCAATCCCAACACAGAAAGGGTTAAGTCTGCAGGGTCTAAGGGCAGCAATCCCAGCACATAAAGGGTTAAGTTCACAGAGTCTAAGGGCAGCAATCCGGTAAAGAAAGAGTTAAGTCCATAAAGACTCAGGGCAGCAATCCGGTACAGAACAGGTTAAGTCCACAGGGTCTCAGGGCAGCAATCCCAGCACAGAAAGGGTTAAATTCACAGGACAGCAGTTCCAGCACAGAAGGGGTTTAAATCCATAGGATCTAAGGTCAGCAATCCGGCACAGAAAGGGTTAAGTCTATAGGGTCTAAGGTCAGCAATTCCGGCACTGAGGCTGGGTTCACACCTAGGCGTATAGAATATGCGCGCTTGTCGCGCGTTTCGTGCCACGCGATTTTACCGCGATTCGCGGTAAAAAAACGCACGTCAAGCACGCGTTTCCGAGGGCTACCTGGCTGTATCCCAATGGATACGCGCAGCAAATACGCCCCAAAGAAGCTCCTGTGCTTCTTTGGGCGTAGGGCGTTTTGCAGCGCGTTCCTACGCGCTGTTAAACGCCCAGGTGGGAACCAGGTCTGAAAGGGTTAAGTCCATAGGGTTTCAGGGCAGCAATCCCGGCATAGAAAGCGTAAATTTATAGGGTCTCGGGGCAGCAATCCCAGCACAGAAAGGGTTAAGTTCACAGGGTCTCAGGGCAGCAGTTCTGGCACAGGAAGGGTTATTACTCACACTCAGCAGCTTGAACCTTTCAGCTTGGCTCACTCTATTCCAGGGGGAGGTCCCTTTAAGCACACAGCTGGAGCCCCGCCTTAGCTCCGCCTCTGCTGTCAGTCAGCGTGGAGAGGAATTGCCTGTGTTCTCTAAAAGGCTGTGAGAGGCGCAGGCACAAGAGGGGAGGAACAGGGGCAGGCACAGGTGATTGATCAGCAACCAGCCTCGCCTCCTAATGCCTCTGCGGCCATCAGGACTTTGTCCCTGGGGGCCACCAGTGGTGAGAATACGGGGCCCTGCACCTGATCCTTTCTATACGGTGGCTGACATAGACATAGAAGCGTTTTGTCTGGTTGTAGATGTCGCCCAGAGGAACTTTGCTGTCTGCGTAGAACTTGATGTCCTCTCTCTGAATGTCTCGCTCACGCAGTATGAAGTCTGCAACTTCTACAGCTAGCACAGACCCACAGAGTCCAAGCCTAGGAATTGTGTGCTCAGGCTTAGGTGCCAACTTATCCTTCCCAAACAGAGACCCCCCCTCCCCCATGGGTGTGATTAGAGGGGTCTCTCACCTTGAGGTAGGTGACAGCTGCTATGGCCTCAGTAGATGCATCTCAGAAGATGTGACTCTCTCTTCTCTGACTTGCAGCAAGGGAGGTTGAAGTGTAGCAGCGTGGTATGTGGATTCCATCTGAGGCATGTAGAGATTGCTTCCAGGACCTCCATCCTGAATGTTTGTCTGTTGGTAGTGGAGCGTCCCAATCTTAGTCTCTGATACAGTGGTGGGCCTAATGAACAAAGGGCCCTGGTGCAAGATTTTATCTTGGCCCCCTCCCAAGGGAGCGGATCACAGCGATCGATGGCGGTGTTCCATCAAAGGCTGATGTGGTGCAGCACAGCACTACGCCGGGGTCTATGTTCTAAGTCCTCTGTGCGTGCTCCGTGTTGTTGAACAGTCAGAGAGGTAAATTATTAAATTATTAAAAAGATAATAAGATAACTTAGGTTGGGTACTTATTGGACTTCCTCTTTCAGACCTTGCACGGTACTTGTAAGATTTACTAACGAGGTATTACTCATAGTCACAGCCTCCAGTATATCTCTGAGGAGGACCTCCCAGTCATTTCTTTGCATCTTGGCTCCTGTTAGGCCACGAAAACAAAATAAGAAAAGTGGCCCCATGGGATTGTGGCCCCTATCACCCATGTGTTCATAAATCTATTTATATTCAATAGAGGTGTGTGGTGACTGTCATGTACCTGTCTCTCTGGGGCGGCTTTGCTGGTTCTTTCTGCTTTGTCTTTCAGGTTACAAGCTGCCTGCTGTTGCTAGGAAGATTTACCTCTGCCGAGTCAGCAAGTGCCTCAAGACTGCCAGCTGGACTCACCTCTGGATTATCTTCAGTCTCCCTTTTTGCATCTTTTCACCTGCTCACAGCCCGGAATGGATCATTGACTTCAACGTGACTTCAGAGGGCGGATTCTCCTGATGGGGGGACCGGCTCAGACATTTGTAACTATTCCTGACTACAGCTGCCTCTTCCATTCCATCTGTGGCCCCTGCGCCTCTCATTCCTGATGTGTCAGCCTCACCCTGTGTACAGCATTGGGGCCTATACCTGAGGTCAGCCAGGAAACTCTTCATTTACCTGCAGGTGGTCTGGGATTTGCAGCGGGACTTTTAGGAGCCGCATTAGGACTGTCACCTGTGACTAGGGAGGATCTGAGCATTGCAGTTCTGAGTGGTGGAGATCTTTGTCTGCGTGCTCATCACTCTCCAAGGGACTGCCGGGCGGAGGATTGTTAAGCCGGACCAGAAGTGCCCGAGTGTCACATCACCACTGGGACCGGGCTGCCACTAGGACTAGTCAGGGACCAGGAGTGTAGGACCGCAGACCTGAAGTGACAGAACGCAGGCCGGAGGGGGGAGGAGCTACAAGAAAAGGCCAAAGAGGCCCAACTCTCCATCAGACATCCACAGCGCCAGTGTTCCTGTCACAGTGAGCGGGGCGGGCAGCGGATCTCATGCTGCTATCCTGGCCTGATAGCCCGAGCGTCGGAGGAGGGGCCTCTCTCCAACCGGACTCTAACCTCATCACAACAAAGGGGTGAGCTGAGGTCTGAGGGCCGGGAATGTATTGCTCTGGGTCATTCTCCCTCTGTGTCATTATCCTCCCTTTGTAAGGTGTAGTCTGCCAGTCAGCCTTCAGCCACCCCTTCCCTTTACCCTCATGTCTCCAGTGCTTCCCTTCCATGCTCATTCTCTCCTTCCCTTTACCCTCATGTCTCCCAGTGCTTCCCTTTCATGTTCATTCTCTCCTTCCCTTTACCCTCATGTCTCCAGTGCTTCCCTTTCATGCTCATTCTCTCCTTCCCTTTACCCTCATGTCTCTGGTGCTTCTCTTTCATGTTCATTCTCTCCTTCCCTTTACTCTCATGTCTTCAGTGCTTCCCTTTCATGTTAATTCTCTCCTTCCTTTTACCCTCATGTCTCCCAGTCCTTCCCTTTCATGCTCATTCTCTCCTTCCCTTTACCCTCATGTCTCCAGTGCTTCCCTTTCATGTTCATTCTCTCCTTCCCTTTACCCTCATGTCTCCAGTGCTTCCCTTTCATGCTCATTCTCTCCTTCCCTTTACCCTCATGTCTCCAGTGCTTCCCTTCCATGCTCATTCTCTCCTTCCCTTTACCCTCATGTCTCCAGTGCTTCCCTTCCATGCTCATTATCTCCTTCCCTTTGCCCTCATGTCCCCAGTGCTTCCCTTTCATGCTCATTCTCTCCTTCCCTTTACCCTCATGTCTCTGGTGCTTCCCTTTCATGTTCATTCTCTCCTTCCCTTTACTCTCATGTCTTCAGTGCTTCCCTTTCATGTTCATTCTCTCCTTCCCTTTACCCTCATGTCTCCAGTGCTTCCCTTCCATGCTCATTCTCTCCTTCCCTTTACCCTCATGTCTCCAGTGCTTCCCTTTCATGCTCATTCTCTCCTTCCCTTTACCCTCATGCATGCTGGTACCCTGTGACTTCTTATCATTGTGTAGCCGGTGCTGTGATGTCACGGTTTGTTCTCCTGTCCGGTATACAGACGGTCAGAGGTTGTAACAATTGTCGGGTTACGTCGTCAGTCTCTCCTCATCTCCATGACTTTGGATTTGCCCAGACAGTGTGATATGAGGCAATGAAGAGATTGAGTGTGCAGCGCTATTGAAGTGAGTAAGGTGTAATCCCCTTTTTTCAGGGATATGTAAATGAAAAAATTGTGTTTTAAATAAATGAGTAACAAACAATATTAAGTGATCCTATTGAATAGGAAGTTGCATGTAGTGAATATACAAATTAATATATATATATATATATATTGCAAAACAAACTGATGTGTTCCAATAGTGGTGATGAAATATATTTGTGAAATACCACAACATGAACTATAGTTACACTCTTATGTCCTCCTAGTGACAAGAAAAACTGTGCACAAAATAACATCCGAAACTTGTGAACGGCTAATTAGCCCACAAACAACAAAACCCTCTAGAACAGTCCCAGATGGTGGTTCATTTCTTGTGTGAAAAGAAGTAAATGATCAATGGTAGATTTTAAAGTGGATCCGATGAAATCTTCAAACACTTATTTCCAAACAGTAAATTACTAAATAAATTGTTCCCACACCAACGTGTATAAGTATCTTCAAACTGTCCCCTTTGGGGTGCCCACTCACCCCACGGTTGAGATAATAAAGCGGAGATAATAGGTCAGATGGTCCACATCCCAGATGTCTCTTTCAGCAGCGTTCCGTCCGTTATGATTTTATATAATTAAAAAGGAAATCTCCTCATGGTGCGGTATGCATAAACGTTTATTTATAAAAACATAAATAACTCGCAGTTTAAAAACGAAAAACCGGACCTGCAAACCCCTGAGGACGTCGATTGTGACGAAACGCGTCGGGTGGGCCTATTCAAATTGATACCACGTCATACCAGGAAGTAGCAGAGGACTAAGACGCTACAATACACTGGCTGGATTCCCCTCTCCCCGCTCTGATCCGCCAGCGCTGACTGGCGGAACGGACGGGGGAGGGGGCGGGTACAGCTGGCTCTGCCTCTAGATAGGCAGAGCCAGCTGTCACTCACACAGCTGGGCGGATCTCGACATCGATGTCGGGATCCGCTCCGGCATCTCGGTATACCGCGAGCTGTAGCTCACGGTATACTGAGCCTAGGGTGACGGGAGGACGCTAGTTTGTGTCCTCCCGTTACCCCAAGGAGAACTATGGGGGAAAGCCCTAACCCCATAGTTCTCCTTTTTAATATCCAGAACAGATTCAACTTTTTGTTATCCACCTGAAACGGAAATTTCAGCTTTGGGGAAAAGGAAGCGGTCACTGATACCTGCATTGAAGACTGGCATATGAAGAGGTCCTCCCAACCCGATATGTGAATGACTACTTGGTCCCAAACTGAAGATAGGACTCGCCCCCTCCCTACACTACAATGAAACCTACATAGAGATGGTCAGAGAGCATTATGGGATGAGAGGTGAGCCTGTCCACGGACCTGGAACCAACATCTGCACATGTGCTGTGTTTGGGGACAACAGGCCAGGTGGAGGAGGTACTGGGATCTTGAAGCTCCTTGTGCTCATTTGTCTGCAGTCTACAGGGAATTGTACAAAATGCCATCACGGGGCCCTAGAAACGCTGCTCAGGATCCAGGATGAGCACGCGGTACGACCAGCACAATCAACATCCATAAAACGGACTCGAGTGGCGTTGCCCCTTGTTGCTCGCCTCAGCCTGTATGTTACAGAAGAATGGAGACCCTCTACATCATGCTCAGTATTCCTCAGCCATGATTAGGACGACCAGGGAGCTCCACCCAGTGAACGGGTGACATCCCTGTCCTCGGCCCGTCTGGTCGCTATACTGCTCCCAGAGGAAGCCAGTCTCTTTGTACTGCCTGTACAGATTGACAATGAGGTTGATGCGAAGCTCGCGGTACACATTGGTGGCCCTCTCCTGGTGTGGGCCCTTCAGCCGGCTGTAGTGGTGCAGGGCCCTCACCGCCAAGTAGTTCATGTTGATCCATATGGGTCCCCTCCAGTAGGGCGGGTCATGTTCCGTGTTGCGCTGCATGTACATAGGGCTGCTCTTGGACAAGGAGCGGATGCCGTACGGTGTCCAGAGTTGGTCGAGGTCCCTGAGCTGCTCCAGGACGCGGCCCAGTTTGGGGGAGTCCGGGGTCAGGATCTGCAGGAGGAAGGGGAAAAGGGACACATAGCCCAGAGCATCGACATACTATAAATTCGGGACCTTCTTCACGGCTCGTATCAGCCTAGGGGGAGGGACGCTGCGCGGATCCTGCCCAGGGAACGGCTGCGTCCGCTCCCACTCCAGTACCGTGTTCTGTGTGTGGTTTCCGTAATCAGCGTAACCGCCGAGCTGCTCGAACCAGTGGAGCTCATCCAAGAGAGAGTTGTTGGAGAGCACCGAGTGTGACTCCTTGTACCTGCCGCCATCTTCCCCCAGCTGGTGGCAGATGTCCGCCATTACTTCCGACGCTAAAGTCATCCAGCACCTCATGTCCACGTGGCGCTCATCATCCGAGGGGTGGGAGGCCCGCGGGTAATCGTCCAGGCCCGACGTCAGCGTTTTCGGGTTCAAAAACTGCACGGTGTCCCTGTCCCGGCCGCGCCACCGGTAGGTGTACGGAAGGGGCCCGGCCTGCGTTTCGTTGAACCAGTTGTACCAGGTCTGAAGTCGAGGAAGCGCACGCCGAAGAACCTGGAGGCCTTCCGGGGGAATATTTCTGCCCGCCAGAAGCTGACGCAGGGTCAGGAACAGGGTGGGGGGGTTGGCATTGTCGTCCCGCTGAACCACAAGTTTGGAGGGCACTTTACTGCGAGCCTCGGGTCCGAGGATCTGCTCCCGAGGGATCCAGCCATCGGCGTTCATTAGATCCAACCAGTGACCCAGGGACTGCCAGGCCAGAGACGGGTTCCAGCGAGCAATCAGCAGCAAGTGGAACCCCTCGTCTCACAGGAAGCCGCGAGGGAAGAAAGAGCGAGAAGGGACTGCGGTGAAGAGGGGAGCCAACGCATAAGCCACGGGTTCAGGATTGTACCGGGACTGGACCAACGAGCTTCCGTAGAAGTAACCCATCCCACCCACCATGTTGGAGAGGGCGGCCTGAGCGAAGGCCACCTGCTCCGGGATGAAGCCCTTCTCCTCCAGCCGGAACATCTGCTGAAATCGCTCAGCCATGTCCTTCTTGTGCCGTTCCAGCTCGCCGCTCAGCGCCCGTCCGGACAGGTGCACCGAGCGCTCCAGGAAACTGTCCGACTCAAACAGGATCTCGGCCTGGAAGGGGAGGGCCATGGTGATCTGGTGGATAATGATCTTGGAGTGGTCTGAGCCCGACTGAGGGGGAGGGTTGTAGACGTCTACTCCAAAGTAACGTCTCTTGTTGGCGCCGGAACCTCCGGACGGGTGGCTGAAGTGGTCTCTCAGGCTAACGCGTACAACGTCCGTGATGTGGTGGAGCCCCGGGCACGCCGTCACCAAGTGGTTGTAGCTGTGGAGGGAGAAGAAGAACATCAGAGGACTGCCAGGAACACTTCATAAGAGATCTTCTGGCAAATTCATTGGAATTAGGAACATTTCATTGTACATATTATACACACGGTGGCCCTAAAGGGGTCCGTCATCTTGTTGTATGAATTGTTTAGCCGGCACTCCCCCCACCCTTCAATGTTCCTTGTACAGGCCCAGGACTGGCATTGGCCATTGTCTATAGGTGGACCAAATGTGAGATCAGCACACTTCCAGCATCTGATCTTCCCTATGGTCTCTGAACCTGGAAGAGCCAAGGATTTTATCACTTCGGGGTTCAGGAAGTCTTTCCTCTAGCCGCTGTGGTGGCAGAAGAAGCTGGTGAAGCTCACTTTATGCAGACTTGCACTTTGGAGCACCTGGCGGCCCTTTAAGGGTGTGTTGACGCCAAGGTGTCGGAGGCGAGCTTCCTGATCATGTGATCGGCTGTCAGAGAGATCACATGATCGAGAGGCCCCTGATCACAAACTGGTACCACTATGTGGTCTGCAGCGATCTACAAAGCAGGCCAGTATAACAAGGAAGGGACCTGGGATTCCTCTAGCTGGCTGGCTGGAGTCACCCGGGATGGGGCAGGACTTCTGCAGGGGCTGCTTAGTTCCAGCGCTTTGTGATCTCTTCCCCCCAGATGTCACATGGGTGCAGTACATGGGCATCACTTAGGACACTGAACCTGCTGATATGGGGAACCCAAAAAATCACATCAGCTAGATGTCAACACAAAGGCGGGAATTCACTGGCTGTGGGTGACCCATATGGAGGGGATCCCTTAACAAGTAGTTTAATTATTGTCACATGACTATTTCAGCAGGGTCAAAGTTGACTGGGGAAAAAAATGGCAAGGCAGAGGACCATTACCATGTTTTATGTATGTACAATGCAGGGAGTGGCCATGAGGGTGGAGAAGGGTTGTTAGAACCCCATGGGGACAGGGCCCTGGAGGATATGCAAGTACTGAAAAGCACTAGTCACATGATCTGGGGGTTACTGGCTGGCTCCCAGGGCTACTTCTGGAGCCTCCTCTTCCGGAGCTCCCAGGATTACTTAAGGAGTCTACTCCTCTGGGGCTCCCTGGACTACTTCTGGAGTCTCCTCCTCTGGGGCTCCCTGGACTACTTCTGTGGTCTCCTCCTCTGGGGCTCCCTGGACTACTTCTGGAGTCTCCTCCTCTGAGGCTCCCTGGACTACTTCTGGAGTCTCCTCCTCTGAGGCTCCCTGGACTACTTCTGGAGTCTCCTCCTCTGGGGCTCCCTGGACTACTTCTGGAGTCTCCTCCTCTGGGGCTCCCTGGACTACTTCCAGAGTCTCATCCTCCGGGGCTCCCTGGACTACTTCTGGAGTCTCATCCTCCGGGGCTCCCTGGACTACTTACGGAGTCTCCCCTCAATATTTCTCACACAGCAGACTTGGAATGGGTCCTGGGTGGGACACCATCTGCAGAATGACATCACTCACCTGATGGCTCCGCCCTCTGCATCCGGTCTGGTGAATCTGATGGTGAAGCCGCTCAGCTCCTCCGATGTGCCGGTCACATGACTCAGGTGTCGTCCGTCCATGTGAGGGGTCAGTGTTCCCTGGCCATCTGTGGCCACATAGAAGAAGAGGGAGAGGAGCTGTCCTGGGGAGGAGGGGCCCTGTGGGAAGTGAGAGGAGGAGCCAGTTATATCTTGAGTGACACCTAAAAGCAAACCAATCATGCAGGAGCGGAGCAAGGAGGACGCCCCCGAAGTCCCTCTTATAAACAGAAGAAACCACAGGGTATCAGTCCAACATTTATAAAATGGCAGACACGCCCCTTTAAAAAACGAGTGCACCCTTCACTGACCGCAGACCAGAGTCAAACTGAGACTGATGAACTCATCTGTCACTCTGTTCTCTCCACCTATCAGCATGACTCTTGCTTAGGATGGGGGGAGAGGGATGAAGGGTGACAACCTTCACCGCCATACTCCACTTCCTGTATCCGCTGTATGCAAAGGCCCCGAATCCGATCACACAGGACAGGATGGCCACCAGAACTATGCGTCTCCAATCCCTCTCCGGGGGCGGAGCTCTCCAGGAAGATGGAGGCGGACACTGCTCAGATCCACCATGACGCCTCCGCTCTTGTGTCATCTTACTGCCTGGAGGGAAAGAAGAGTGATAGGTGAAGACCCCAGCCTACTGCAATTGGCTGACCCCCAGCCTCCTCCCATTGGATGACCACCAGCCTCCTGCCATTGGAAGACCCCCCCCCTCCTGCCATTGGATGACCACCAGCCTCCTGCCCTCGGATGACC